GGCGAAGCCCGAGGGACAGGCTCCGGGCCCCGCTACTGCCGAGCGGCCAAGCTGCGAAGTCATTAGGGCTGGGGGGAGGCACCCGCATTCTGAAAAGCCTCTTTAAGGCTTAAATAATTCCCAAACCGGCTTTCAGTAATTTGCCTTTTCTCCCCGCTTTGGTGGATGGAGTTCCACATCCTCCCCCCCCAAAAAAACCAACACAAACCCACCCCAAACAACCCCAAACCCTAAGCATCCTGCACACTAGCCCTTTTTAAGGCAGTCCGGCAACTTACTGAGGAGCAATTCTACGTTCCTGATGGGTGACGCATCGCCTGTTCAGCCTGGGCCAGCTTCCCAGGTGGGAAAGAGAAGGGAGGTGGGTTATGGGGCAGGTAAAATGTTCTGTGGCCTCTATGCTTAGGCACCCTGTGTTAGACAGGCGTATTTGCACTGAGGGAGCGTGTGGGCCCGTAGGGGAATGAAGTGGTGATAAAGAAGTACACATGCTCCCAAATTAGCCATTTGAAGGAAAAAAAAAAAAAAAAAAGGTTTAATCTGGATTGTTCAAACAGCTCTGACACAGGAGGCACTCACCTTTTGCTGCTCTCAAGCTGACGTTCTAGGGCACTTGGCCATGCGGCTCTTCCACTCCAGACTCCCTCGTTACTGTCACTTGTTCCAGCCTTCAGCTATTGTAGCCACATGTTTGAAAAAAAAAAAATTGGATAGTTCTTATTGCTATGTTTTTTTCCACCAGAACACCAGCTTGCTGATGCAGTTTGCCACAGGAGGTGCAGAGGACTGATGGAGGAAGATGAGAAGCAGTGATGGGTTAATCAGACCAGTGTAAAGACCACTGTTCCTGCACATGAAGTTCTCTGTTTGTCTTCTAAGGGCTTTAAGTGTCTCAGCTCATGGCTAACAGCAGTGCTGGATAAAATAATATCCATTCAACTACCTGCCTGAGAGCATGGAAAGAGACTAGTAAGATATGAGAAATCATCACTAGACTGTTGTTCAGTCATCCTAAAAGCTTTGCTTCCACTCCACTGCTTCTTCACATGCTTATCCTCACAAACCCTACCCTGCCCTTGGGCCTCTTCATTTACTCCTAGTATCCTCCCTAGGCACAGACCTCCATTTCTACTCCCATGGTGCTGCTTCCAGACATTAATGTCTGGAAACACATAGCTAGGGTTCCCAAACAACCTTAACTCTGCCCTAGAGGCAAAGATTTATGAAAAAATCCTCTCTGTTTAATATAAGCTGGGACCACAAACAACGAAATGCCTCCATCACAGTAGTGCAACTGCAGAAATTCCAGCCTACAGTTAGCCAAACGTAACCCACTGAGTGCTGTGTTCTTTTATTTTCATATTTCTGATTAGGCAAACAACATAATGAAAGCCTCGCTCCCTATTCTTTCGTAAGACTGCATGACTCACCACTTATGTAAGCCTTATGCAGGAGCTGGTCATAGCTCCACTGATGATACTACATACTGGTTTGCAATTAGTGCAAGGCTTCAACCTCCCTGATCTGTACAATAAAAATAGGTTCTCTCAGCTTACATGTTGTGAGCAGTGAGGCTTTGGGAGCCCAGGAAAAGTAGGGAATCTGTAGGGAACTGTGATAGTTAAAACCTTAAAATTTTAGGTGGATTCTCTAAAGAGTTCAGCATTGGCATTGCTTTTCTTTCTCCCTCTCTCAAATGACTGGATAAACAGCTTGGAGGGTCTGAAGAGTTCAAAATCATCTGGCTTTCAGCTATAGCTTATGGGTAAGAACAGTGGGATTTATTATGTGGACTGCCACATCATCTTTGATGACATTGTAATTAATATGAGACAGCAATATGGAAAGAACATGGTTATCACATGGTATCAAAATTTACTTGGGAGCCTTCGTTGTCCATTTCAGAACCTTAGCAAGTTTGGACTTAAATGCAAGTCCAACTCTGCCATTCAGAAATGAAGAGCTCAGCTCAGGCTATGCTCTCCCTTCTCCCGTTAATTTCATGTTAGCACAGATAATAAGAAAGTAGTGGATGAAGCAGGCTGGAAGTTTCTCAGCACAGCTGCCTGACACTTTGTACACTCTCTGCGCACGTTCTGTAGTTCCCACTTTAGTGACTCACAACAGATCTCTTCTTTTGTGGGAGAAAAAAAGAGTAGTTTTGTGCTCCCTGAACACAGCAATGATGCACTGCAGTCTTCGCTGGCTTTTGCAGGCAGGGAGTAAGAACACAAGGTATTTCACTGACTTCACAGCAACTGTCTTACACCCATTTAAAAAAGAAAAGAGGAATGACCCTTGAGTGAAAGGTAGTGGATTTCTCTTTACTTGTAATGACAGTAGAGGCAGCAAAACCAGGGTCACCAACGGAAGTTAAGAATTACTAAGAAAAACTTCAGCATCTAAGTCTCAGCTGAAGGATTGGGACTGTACCACATCAGCGATACCCTGTGAAGTAGGAGTGTTGACGTCACCCCAGAGCCTAGAATAGCAATCCCTTGAGGGCTGGGGAGATGGAGAGCGCCACTGAGTTAGTAAGCGTATATTCAGCATTTAGCTTGAATGTTGGAACAGGGAAATTATAAATGGCCCTAAGTAGCAGAGAATGTTTTTACCATGTATCTAATATATAAATACCTCTCCCAGAGGAGACAAACTCCCAAGTGCAGACTTGCCAGCACATCCTGACTCCAAGGCATCTGCCCTACTCAAGCCCTTCAAAAACTGGACTCTCAGCAATTTCATATGATAGTTTTGTGTAAACTACAGTTGCTGAATTAAGGATCTAGACAATAAGATGCCATATTACCTCTGTTTTTCCAACCAGGACTTCTTAGTCCTGTGCTATCATTTCCTGAAGCATTTCCAAAGGACTTGAAAGATTTCTTGTCTTCCCCAAAAGATGGTGTCCATCAGATGGGGAAACTAATGCAGCAGGCAGCATAATACCGCACCCAAAGTCACCCAGAGGTTTATAGCAGAAGCCAAATCTCCCTGCTCCTAAAGGACCAAACAGGTAGAATACTCCACCTTTTAAACCATCTCAGTGACTATACTACCTAACTTAATTCCTTGCTAATTTTTCCTTATGGTTTAAGTAATTACTTGGCCCGTACATTGGGAGTAAGCCAAGTTTGGATAAAGCTGCTGTGGTGTCTCTCCACATCTATTTTTTTGTCATCTGTATGTATCATTTGAGAAACCACAGCCACCACCAGCACAGGAGACACTGCATCATCCTTCCTTGCTGAACCATCAAGACATGGCTGTTCCTCAACGCCTCCTCCCTCCAAGGTAGGAAACTGCTTAAACTGTCATTACTAGATTTGACATAGGAACCACAGCAGCATGCAAAGAGAATGCAAGTCAGGTATTATCCCACCAATATTACTATTCATCTACCCAGTTCCTTCTTTTAAAAATAAAATGATGTTGGAGAAAAGTGTTACTCTTTTGAAAGAACATTAGTCAAGTTACTGTTTTATCAAATTAATTGCTTAAATTACCGCTTCCTGTGACAGCTTTCCCTGAAGGATATATCCTGTAACAATAACTTTCACACTGCTTTTTCTAGTTATGCCTGCCTGGATATCTTTGTCACTGATGGTATATCATTAAATGTGGACTTTTTTTTTCTTTTTTTTTTTGACAGATCTCAATGTGTAACATTTAAAAATCTATTGGAAAATTCCCTCCCTCCCCACCAATGCCGTTATAAGGATTCCTCTCTCATTTTCACACTGTTACACAGTAGTATCATTGTTTACTGAACAGATTTTATGTATCTGCTCAGTCTTAGCAGGGGCAAAAGATTCTCCCCCTGTGAAGAGCTTTTCCGTTACGTACTAGTGACGGGGCATTATGAGTCCTGGCAGTATTCATTCACTACCAAACTGCGTTAATTGGTAGATGAGGAAAAAAGCCCTGATTCAGTTGCGGACTAACATCAATATAACTAAATGCACTTCATACATGTATTTAACTGGGGAATCAAGACATGAAGATCTCTTCAGATGGCTACTAAAATCACTACCATTACCTATCTCCATGATTTTTGAAAAGCACATCTCCAAATGTATCTGGAGTTCAGCCAAAAATGGAGCCAACAAGACCGTTCTTTGTGAACATCAGCCAAAAACCTGTGCACCAGACTATCCCTTTTCAGGAGCGCAACTCACCTCTAATTGGTCCTTTCCATACAGCAGTAGCAATGTGCACACAGAAACTGGAGAAGGGCTAATGTTCTGCGGCTGTTTCAATCACGTACATGCGGCATCCCAGACAAGACGCTTTTTGGCTCTGCCAAAGGCCACATCCTCGAGGAACAGCATCAGCCCATCCATGCCCGTGGAGCTGCATTTACAACAGCTGAGGAACTGGGAACGCCTCAGTCCTAATGACTCAGTAGCTCAAAGAAGAGAAGTGCTGCAGGATTTTATGAACAAGAAGAAAAATCCCATCAAGTCCTTTTGAAAGCCTTGTCCCTTCTGTTGTAGCTTCTTGTAAAACAGAGAACTGCGCTACTACAACACAGTCAGAATTAGCCAAGTTTATCAACCTTGGAATCAAAAGCAAAGTTGGTGTCGTGACTTGAGTACAACTGTCTATAAGTGGCTGTCATCTGAAGTCAAAACTTACAAATATAAAAGCTCAATTCTCTACAGCTTTACTTGGGAGAACAAAATTTATTGGCTGTAGTAGACTCAATTCTCCACATGGTGTAGCCCTTTGAGAAGAGGCTGAGCCACACTATGAAGTTATGGATTTAAAAATGCTCCTCTCCATTTTTAATCACCATTTCTATCAATCTATCCATTCAGCATCATGTTAGTGTTTCTTTTGTGGTGGGTCATTATCATTCCGAAGAGTCAAACACCTACAACTTCTAGCAGATTCTCTTTTCTCTAGGTTAGAATTTAGTTCTTATACGAGATGAGCGAGTTGGCTATACAAGACTTAAGTGTTCAGCAAAAGGATGAACACAGGAGAACAAACACCTGGAAGAATGTAAAAGGAAGACAGGGGGTGGGGGGGCGGAGGAGGGAAACATCTTAATAAACAAAGCAAGATTTATTTTTTTTACCTCCCCTTTTACAAATACGGTTTGAAACCAGAAGGAACAATTATGGTAAGTTTTAACTTCAGCTGTTGAAATACCAACGCAGCGTGTTTTACCTGAACAGCGTACTCAGTCCCCATAACCACTCACAGACCAATCCAAGGTTTTGTTGTATACCTTTCTAGATTTTTGTTCAACAGCATTTGTCTGCTGAGCTGTGTGGGTAGTAGCTCACATCATCCACACTGGCATGACATTTTTGGAGTAGTATGGTGCTCAGCTTTTAGCATCTTTAGAGGAAAGAAATTTTCGGTAGTGTGGTATACTTTTTAAAAAAAAATATTAAAGATTATACTCACTGTTTCATGCGGAAATGTCTTTCCTTAATAAGATTTAACTTTTTTTTCAGCTCGATTCCTAATTTAACATCTGCAATTTGATTGTTCTTTATCCCCTTTTTACTGAGGTAGGAAAACAAATTTTAAAACCACCAGCATTCCACGAGTGGTTTTGGAATCATGCACAAATAAACTAGCAACTATCAACTGCAGCACTGAATACTTGGAAACTGAGAAGGCTAAGATACAAGCTTTTAAAAATATTACGTATCTGTAAGCTATTTAATGGTAAACATGTTTGAATATGGAATACCATTAGTCAGGAATTGTTTCAGATATTCTTTGAAGATGTGAAAGTAATTCACTTTACACAGGTATAGTTAAACAAATAAAAAAATCAAATATTACTTTATGGAATAAAAGTAGGATTATTCTGAAAGAACTCTTCTACTTCAAAATGCATAGCAGCTGTATTATATTCCAGAACAACTTATACCAATAAATCAGCCTGTAGACCTTTAACCACATACACTTTTGAGATGAAATGCTTAAAAATATTTTGAGAATTATACTAATATTCATTCAGTCTTTTAAACATTTTAAACAAAAGCTAATTCTGCAAAAAAATCTAGTTGCTAGAATGCATAATTTGAAGTTGTATGAAAAATGGAAATGCACTTAAAAATAATATGAATCATTTAGTCAGAGCCACACTATACAGGTGGCACCCCCCCC